TCTATTTGCAAGTTGGATTCATTGAAGAGATATAGATAGTGAGAAAAAAGGAAACAATCATTTATTGATGACCTTAAAAAGAAAGCGATCAACACAGTAAAGGGAATTAAAAAGACTGAAATTTCTAACCCCACCTACTGTYAAAAATAACGTTGCTCTACATGGAAGTGGGGATATTCTGGATAGTTAATTTCATTACGTGTTGCATGACGAGTAAATTTTGCTTAAATTTATACCTAAATATATTAGTTCATGAAACACACTTCCCTGTTTTTGACCAATTTAGGACAAGTCTGAATTCCGATACTATTTCAGTCCCTGTGGAAGGTTTCAAAGCCATTTAACAAATTTCGCACGGTTTTTAACTCGGAGATTGCGTCAGCAATCGTAGAGTTATTGGGAGGGGACAAGCTGTCACTCGCTCGATCGCTCGCTCGATCACTTTCCTKTAAACTTGAGCCTGCGATGTTTTGTCAGCGGTTATTAATTTAATCATATTAATTATATTAATGTTATTCTACTTACTTCCTCTAGTTGGTCTCCCTGTGCTTTTCGATTAATTATTAATTATAATATCTATATACAGCTGTTGGCAATAATTCTGACCCCCCTACACTAATATTCATATATATCAAAATAGCCTTAGAAATTATGGGATACCATTGCTGATATTTTTTTTAGAAAGTACTCATTGTTTTCAAGTCGGTTTTTCAAGTCGCCAGCGCGCGCTCGCCCTGTTAGTCAAGAAAATCATCCTTTTCTCGCATAACCACACATGTTTTCACACATTTTTGGTTTTAAAAAGGTGTAAATACCTTTTCTTGACTATAATGTGTGCTAAACCTCCTTCTTTTTTATCATTTTGATGCTTTAAAGCGACAAAAACAAAATTGACCTAATTTGCATAATTTGAGTCTTTCCGGTGTCAGCATACCGCTGACATTTGCCGAGAAGACTCTGGGCTCGAGATTGCGATCGATAAATAGGTTCACCATGATGGGTTTCCTGTGTTTGCCGAAAACAACTGACCCATCGCACTTCAAGAGGAGAAAAAATTGTAAAAATTATGTTGTTTGACGTAGAATTGTACCGATTGCAATAAGTTTTGACTGAGTTTTCGCTTCGAGTACGTGTCAACATGTCGTCTCTGCTAAAAGTAGCTTTCACGGCCTTATAAATAAACTTCAAGCAAAATGGACGGTTTCTATTCCGCTTTAGACTTCAAGGTAAGATAATAATGTACAAAGCTTAGCAATGACATACTTAAATCTTAAGTTTATCATATGAATTACAAATCAAACTTTTTAGGCTGTGTCAACCTGCCCGTGAGTATTCATTGTTTTCAAATAATTAGCTTACGTACCGAGACTAAATCATTAATTTCATCGCTAAACCCAACCCAAACCTTACCCTAAACCTAAGCTAGAGCTAACCAAGGACTTTTGTTCAGTAATTCTGTATTTTTTTTTCGCAAACGGACATTTTGACTTCCACTATTTACACGGCAGCCGGGCATGTAAGTTGAGACAGACACTTCGAACTTTATGTCGCCGTTGTTAATTTACATGTAACTAAGCTGAAGCTTTTCCTTTTATAAATTTCGATGTCTCTCTGAACTAATAAGCTTATATTTTTATCAATAAACCTTAATCCGCTTAACAGTGATTGGAAGAAAAGCACTGGAATAATTCTGCAAAACTGCAAATCAAGAGCATAAAGAATAATCAAAAGAACAATGTGGATTTCATACTTCAACAAAGGAGCTCAAAACAAAGTTATGATATACCAATTCACTTGTTCTTTCAATACATGAAGGCATTAGCTACTCAAATTTTTCACTAATAACTTATCTTGTTAGTTAATACTATTTTTTTAATCCAATTTAAATGTTGAATTG